GAAGGGTTTCCTTCCAGTACTTGTGGGATAGGGACTGTATCCTTCCTGGAGTCACACAGCATCTGCCTGAATGGAACTGTGAGTGTCAGGCACTGCAAACACTGTGCTGCCTATTAATTTGTTCTGATTGCAAACTCTTTGTGTCCATTCACATTCAGCTAGCTCTGACTGCTGATTAATTACGTGCTTAAAGTTTTGCTCTCATAATACAAAAGTCACTCCTGGGAGAACATTGCTGAGCATGCCTGATGAATGTAAAACATCTTCTTTAAAAGAAGCCACGTATGAAGTTGCTCAGGTTTTCTTACAGAAGACTTCTGATAGGATTATAAGTGAGCATACAGCAATGGAAAAAAAATATTCATTAGAAGGGATTACATTTAAACCTTTCAAGATGACTGATGTATTTTTCCTTTTAACTCTGACTTGAGTGAGCTGTTGAATGGAGCTCAGAGATTATTTCTTGTCAGAATCTATCAAAAAACCCTGAGATCACTAAGGCATTAGAGCATGTTAAGCATGAAATTTTCATTGCCCTCTGTGGTACGTTTTAACAATATCTAAAAACCAGTATTCACTGCTCAGGGTACTTAGTCATCTTTTAGGAGAACTAATTTCATTTAAGCTCATGGTCAGTAATCAGTCTGGAAATGAAACCATTAATTTTAATGCAGTAAGTGCATGTACACATTAAATTTTATTGCTTTGTCTGAATTTAAAAGGGCAAAAGTAGGGCAATTTCAGATCAGTGTAAAGTTGCAGGTGCCTGTAATTTACTGCTCACTTCTTAAGAAAGGAGAGCTCAATGTTTCAAACTTTTAGTCCTGCATGTCAATGAAATAAACTTCCATGCTGTACATTTCAGGAAGATTTGGATCAAGCTTTTGGACTATACCATTTATGTGTCACCTAAAGACACAAGGTGTGTAAAGTGCACAACAGGCACAACTGTGTGCTGCCATTACAACCAGGAACAACACAGATTTCAAGAGTCCTGAAACTTGCTACCCAAGCTTGATATACCTAAAGATCTATTGAGCCAACTATAAAGACATTAAAGAAAGCACAATAATAAGAGTGCAACCAAAGCCAAGAATATTTCCATTTTTTCAAAGGCTTCCAAACGTTTTATATGTAGCAAGATCATGTGCAGACTCAAGGCATCACATTTCAAGTTAAAGTCAGGCATTCATCTGTAACTTTGAATATATGGGTTGGAATCAAACACAATATTTTCACGTTACTTGAGTTTAGGCTTTCTTTGTGTTTTTATGTTCCTGTTCAAAAGAAAGGAAATCCCTGATACCAAGACAAGTAATCTATGTTCTGAGCCAATAAATCCTCAGGGAATTTGAAACAGGTAGATTGTAAGAGGCCCTTTTTGGAGTCTGAAAAGCAATGGGTGACATTGGACTGATCTTAATGAGAGTTGCAGGTGCTCAGCTTTTAGGAAGAGGTCATTTCCTGTGTGTTGGCACAATGACAAAGATGGAAGATTGAATGGTTCTTCTGATTCACAACTCAGTAATACAGACTTCTTAACTGGAAACGGCTGGAAGGATACCCTTGGAATGCTCTTGGTGCCCTAGCACATCCTAAACACTTAAGGCACATCTCAACATCATTAAAATAATAGATGCAAATAAGAACCTGCTAGCTGGTAATCAACAACAGCTCCTCTCCCAATCCTTATTGTTCGGTTTCATGTTCAATACAGATATCCTGTGGCTTTGTTGTCATCCTGACTGCAGGAAAAAAAAAAAGAAATAAACCCAAAACATCCCAACCAGCAATGCCAATGCGTGTCTTTGTTTTTAAGAAGAACAATTGATCAGGGGGAGACTGGAGACCCTGAGATATTTCTCTTAGCCCGCTGGGAAAGCAGAACTTTGACAGCATGTCCAGCCATGGGCTGGGCCTAAAACAGCATCTAAAATCACCTAAACTTTCTTGTTTATCTCTTGATCTCTGTTTTCAGTCACAGCCAAGTGATTCAATACAAATTCCCTCGAATAAACATGCAAGTAAAACCAGGTATTTACATTTGAAGTGGATCGTCATTAAGGTTTCAAGCTGTCAATAGGAGCAGCACAGGAAAATGTTATTATTAGACCTGAAAGTCTTTAAGGGAATGTGTGAGAAGAAAGGCTAATATCAGGGGACCAGTAATCTGTTCCTAGCTGGCTTTTAATTCCACTTAGCAAACATGAATGATTTTGAGTGTTGAATGAAGAAGCAAGCTACAGAACCTGCACCAGGCATTTAAACTACAGCTGGCTGGAACACGATTTGCCTGAAGGCAACATTTTTAAGTTCAAAGGTAAACATTTGGCTTTTTATAGAGAAAATTAGTTGTACAACATACTTGATTGAGTATACTGCTACCCAGTCCAACTTTTAATTTAAATATATTAAAAAAAATAACCCTTCTTTCACTGACAGTGTGCAGTTTCCTAGAGAGCTGCATAGTTGCTAGCAAACATCAGTCCTGTGGGCCTGATCTAGAAGACAGAGGTAAGAACTTCTATAACTTAATATTTTCCAAGGCACCCTAAAGGCTTCCTATTACCTTCCCATGTAAGTTGTTTACAGCCAGCTCCAAAGAGGAGCTCTCCTGCAGGACTTTGACCATGCCTGTAAACTGATAAAAAACCTCCCCCTGGAAAATTCCCCTGGTGAACCTCATCATAATATTTTATTGTCTTAGATCTTAAGCATATGCACAGGGATCCTTTCTGGCAAAAGCACAGGCAATAAATAATGCTGAGCAAGGAGAGGTCTGTACATTGAACTTATAAAGCAGTGATGGTGGCATTTTGTAGCTCTTCTTGCTGTTGAACTAAATGGAGCTTTCTAAGGCTGCTCCAATGTCAGCACACACTTTTCCTGCAAAGCTGTCACATAGCATTTGCATGCAATTTTGGACCTTTAAGCATGGCCTGCTTAGGTTTTATTTCTCATAATTGTGGGGCTTTTTTTGTTTAAGTAAACTTTTTTAAAGTGAGGAAAGCCTATGCTTTACAATGGGGTATTGAGAACCATGTGTTCCATGGTACAGAAAGATATGTTATGATTCTTATCTTTGTGAGACTGTGAAAAAATAGTTCTTTGTCCTCAAACTCATTAAAAAGTTATTTAATAAAGAACTTGAAACCATTATCAATATTTACAAAAGAAATGCTTGAGAGCTGAGTTATGTGTTTTGAAATTCACAGAAGGCTCAGTGCATTGAAGCAACAATATATGTGATAGGAAGTATAGCTGACATTTTCCAAATATAAAAACCAGATGATGGAAGGTTTAATTTCTGTGAATTGGAGCAGTAGCTGAGAGCCTAATAATCTCTCAGGAATATTTTCAACCCTTTGGGGTGCTCAAAGAACATAAAATTCTCAGCATTTCTGTCAAAGCAGTTGAGATCAGTGTGGGTTTTGCCAGATTCAGAGGTGGCTCCAGAATTAACCTAGATTTGAGGATGAAGACAATTTTTAAATTTTTGGAGGGGGTTGGTGTGAGGGTGTGTTGTTTTATTTTTCCCCTGAATAACTGCCTATAGTGTGAAGAATCCTCAGAGATGTCTTTAACCCTTGACCCAGGGGTGCCCAATCCCTACTGGCAGGTCAGTCCCCACCAGCCAAGGCAGCAGGGTGCTCCTGTTCCTGTGGCCACGTGCTGAGCCATGCAGGTGTGAGCATCCTCACTCTGCAGCCAATTCAGGGCGAGGCTGGCCAGGCAGGAACCCACTGGGCATCTCCCCCATCTGTGAGTCCATGCATTAACTAAGGTGGTCCTAAGGTAGACACCAGCAAAATGGGCTTTAAAGCCACCTTCTGTGTTGTTAAACCTGCCCCAGCTGCTGGAAATGCAGGTGCTGAGTGTCTGTTTCTTTCATACATATTGAATCAGGGACTGACTAAATGCCTTTATGCAGCAACTGATAAAAAATACTGCAGTGCAGAATAATTTCTGTAATAATTTTGAATATTCAGCCCATTATGAGTATTCATGGTGGAGGGAAACGCATAATGTAGTTTCCTGCCAGAGTACTCCAGCAAGAAATGAGGGACAAAGGATAACTCTGGTCCCTCTGGGATTCAGATGTTTAGGTCTCCTGGATTGCAGGACAATCCTAACCACCAGGATTGGAATCAGGACCAAAAATACTAAGCACCAAGCTAGGCAATAATAATCACAGCCTCAGACATCAGGTCTGTACATGTGATCCCTTTTACCCATATACTCACTATTACTGAAGGCAGACTTATGTCTGAGAAATTCCCATCCAGGGTCCAACCACACACACAAATATTCAATTAGTAAAAGCAGTTTTGTGGGATATTCATCCACATGATGCATGAAAATCCCAAACTGTTTGTGAGGTTGTTTAACATGATGCAATTGGTTTTTATCACTGATGAAGTGTTCATGTGAGTGTACTTCACTGCTCATGCTAACAGGGCTATATGTTCCCTAAACTATGCCAACAGTTGATTTAAAAATATTCAAGCAAAAGACAGAAAAACGCCACATAATTTATTTATCATTTTTAATTGCACACCAGGGGCTTTAGCAGGCTTGAAAATGGTCTAATTGGAATGAAGAGATGGCAAAAGGGTCATGAAGTTGATGTAGTGACCAATATCACTTCCACAGGCTGGAGCCTGACCACTGAGGGCTTTAGTTTCTGCAGAAGTTTCCAACTTGGTCAGTATGTACTGTTAGGCTGAGCTTTCAGCAGTAGTTGGATGAAATCTAATCCATACATCTGGAAACAGCCTGTGTATCACAGCGAATACGTGCAGAGGGGGCTGCTCTTGTATTTGTGTCCCATGTGTTTGCTTTTATTTGATTTTGTATTTGGGTGGGAAAGGGAAAGAGGAAATTCTCTGACATTTTCACATGCCTTTTTTTTTAAGTGACTCTGAGAAACAATTCAAACATCTTGTCTATTCAAAGGAAAGGCTGTAAAGGGACCTGACATCTTTCCTTTTCTCTCACAGAAAGCACTGTACTCCCATCTCCAGAAATCACCACTGCAATTATCCTGCTTGCCAGCATCCTTGGAGGCAGATACCAAAGGCACAGGAATAAACTACAGATTTAGGCTTTCCTCCTTGCCATGTCTTTGGGAACTGGTAGACAGCAAGAAATCATCTTCTGAGTACAGAATAGTCTGCTTCTGCTCCTTTCCATTGTTCTGTGCTGCTGGAACCACTAAGACTCAGCCAACTGCCTTCTGTACCTCTCCAATCTGACCCTTCTATTTCTGTGCTGATTTCTATCCAAGATTGTTTAAGCCCCCTAAAAAAACTACTACTGCTGCAAAGGATTTCATGGCCTGGCAAAATATCTGTATCTCTATCTTCTACAATCATGCTTAAAAGCTCACAGCTCCTAAACCTCTTCAATGCTATGTAAACAGATGAATTAAAATAAAAACACTGCTGGTGATTAATTATGCCTGGATTAACAAAATGCCAGCCTTTGCTTATTGTTCTGAGAGTAAGGAGGAGAGGAACCAGCACTGCCCTGCTAGAAGTGGCTCAGTCACTGCAAGCAGTCACTGCAATCTGCAGAAGAGCAGAGGAAGAGGAGGCTGAGAAACTGCCATTTTCTCTCTGACAGGAGGAATGATCAGAAGAGATGACTGGAGGAAGGAAAAAGGGGGTGCTTCATGAAGATAAAAGGGGGTGTGCTGGGAGAAGCAGGCTGAGAGTTGAAGATGGGAAAGACAAGAAGACCGTAAGCAGAGCCTGAAGAGATGAGCGGTAAAGACACCGTGGAGGCAGCCATACCTCCCCCCACATCAGGGCAGCAAGGCAGACAGAGGGCAGACACTTCCAAGAAATGCCAGGGCTCTGCCTAAGTGGTTTGAAGTCACACACTTGAGTTGTAGTCCTTCTTGCTTCAATTCTGCAGCTGCCCAGGGCCACAGGTTGCCCTAGACTCCGGCCTGTCCTGATTCCCAGAACAAGGTCCCAAATCTTATCTTGGTATGGAGAAAAGTGATGGTGCTAATGATGAAATGTACAAATTTTAAGCCATAAATCCCAAGAGATTTAGTGACCTTCATGTTTGCACACTATGCTTGTGTAGTATCATAATTACTGCAAACATTACCATGATGTTGCCTGAATATTTTGCCTCCCATAACACTGTGTGAGCCATGGCCACAAGAGAATTGTGGCTTAGGAGTCAGAGGCTTAAGAGCACACACAGCACCCATCCACGGCCTGTAAAATTGCTCCTGTCCAGAGTGATCCTCAGCAGAACCCTGGTTCCACATGCTGAGTGGTTAGACCAGCACTTCTGAAGGTGCTGCTTCAGAAGAGAAGGAAGAAGGTGTTTCTTCAGAAGAGGAGAATGCTCATCTCATTTGATGTCAAATCATGGAGCTCCACAAAGGAAGCCTATTCACACTGGGAGCCCATCCCCTGCATTAAAGTATTAGGTTATTGTTTATTAGGCTGACCAGATGCTATGTGCATGTGTGCGTGGTTTTCCATTTCAGACTATGAAAAAAAAGAAGTAAAGGTAAGAATCCCAAGAGTGCCTACAAGCCATGGAGAGCTTGGATTGAACTACAAATATGGGCATAAGGCAAGGCAGTGTGGTTCACTGAGAGGGGAGAGCCTTGGGGTGTCTCCTGGGTGCTGCAGGATCAGAGGTAAGCCACTTCCCATGTGCATGTGGACTTCTCACCTGGGGTGTGACACCTTCCAGCTCCCCTTGGGTGTTGAGCCCCACCTACTCCTCTGGGGTTCCAATGCTGGGGACACAGGGCAGTTCTAATGTAATGTAAGTCATCAAATGAAAGAGGGGATTTAAAAATAATTTCTTTTGTTGCTGGTATTTCAAAATACTTTACAAGCCATATCAAGAGGATTTAAAAAAATCTTTCTTTATGAGTTGCTTTCTTTTCCAGAATAGTATCCTTGGAAATGACCCACTGGGTAAAAACAAAACAATACTAAATCCCTGTGAAAACCAGCCGTTTGAACCGCCATGAATGTCATTACCTCCAAAAGCCTGGGCTGTGTTTGGGTGGCACTGTGGGGACAGAGCAGCTGGGACTGAGCACTGGCAGCACTGAGGTGACAGAAGGTGCCATGGTCCATGCAGAGTGCTGTGGGCACACTTGTCTGCACAGCAGGCTCAAACACAGACCTTGCAGGGTGAGCCCAGGCCTGTGCCAGCTCAGTGGCAATTCACATCAGCACAGCTCAGTTAAGAGGCAGCCACACAGAAATCAGTGGGAAGAAGAAGCCGCAGAGTAAACAACTCTAAACAGTTCTCCCAATTATCCAGGTAGCTGCTTGTGCCTTTATCACTTATTTTATGCACCAGATAAAGAGACCATTATGTTCACACAGATATTTGCACCCCAGCTGTGCTGGCAGGTTTTGTTTTTCCAGGTGCCAGGCACCACTTAGGAGCTTACACCCTCAGACTAAGTGGACCTGAGGTTTGTTACCATGCCATGCTACTCAGACCGAACACATAATTTTTAAAATGCCTGTGAGAAGTGACCTCCAGAGTTTTTGCCATGTCCTTAGGAAATGATCAGCCATGGAAACTCACAATTGCTTTTTTTTAAAAATTACTGGAAGAGCTTGTGGAGATACTACTCAGAGACTGGTAGAGGGGCCATGTGTGAGCTCACTCTTTCCTCATGGCATAACCAGAGGAGCTGAACAGCAACTGAAAAGAGTCAGAAAGTACCTGAGATGCTAGGAAATGTCTGCCTGTCCTTTGGCTACCTACCCCCAGCTTTTTTGAGAACACACCCGTGGGCCAGAAGGAGCAAGAGAGCTGCTGTAGGTTCTGAAGGCACTTCCCAAGCTGCCCTCATATTTCTGCATATGGTCCTGCCATTTTATTAAATTCTTCTGGAGTTGCTCCTGACCTAAGCTAAGTACTTTTCTATTGACATCAACTTTTGCCACTTCACTATTCACCCCCAGGTTATTAATAAAGCATTAAACAATATTGGTCTGAGTCTCACTCTCTAGGGCACCTCATTATTAATCTCTTTCCCTAGAGAAAGAGAATTGGCCATTTATTCCATACCCATTTATAACCAGATTTTAATCCATGACAGGACTTTACCTCTCACTTTGAGGTTACCAAGTTTCCTTAACAGTTTCTTGTATGGGTGTTTATCAAAAGGCTTTTGAATGTCCAAATAAATTATTTTCTCCGGTTGTTCTTTACTCACTATTTTATTAACTCTTAAAAGTGTAAAAGGTCTGACTGGCAAGATTTATTCTTATAGCAGCTATGTTTCTTTTTCTCTTTTGCCTGAGACTTGATATTTCCCTGCAGATTGTAAAATATTTAAAAGAGTGACCCTCTAAATCTAGTGGCTTGAAGCAGCACCAGATGTGTTGTCAATGTTTAATTAAAAAAAAAAACGAATGTAATATACTGCTGACTTTCTCAACTACTTCCTTGTAATGAAGTTAAGCTAATAATGTAAAATTTCCATGAGCTCGTCTGTCTGTGTAAATATTTACAGGGTCTTTATCGCTGCAGTACCAGATTTCCACATATATTAACAGAGTTATCCTTATAACACCTCTCTGATACAGGGAAGCTTTAATCCCAACTGCCTGAAGAATCAGGGCACACTGACATCTGGCACATAAAACCCAAACTGCTGTGCTTTGAGAATAACAGGTTAGGAGATAAAACACTTTCTCCAACTTACAGATGCTGCATTCATGAAAAATGCCAGAATCATCACAATTCACAAATGTAATGAAAAAGGCTCAGTACCCCAGTGTCTCTTCCCAAGCTCTCTAAACTCCAAAGTACATTTTTCCCTTTGGAAAAATGCAGAGCGCTGCAGCTAAAATCCAAGCTTTTCTTTTTTTTTTTTTTTGCAGTCTATCTGAGCTCGTAGGTTTTTGCTGGCTCTGCTAGTGACCATTTATTTTGGACTCATACCACACCACATCCAGTGTTTCATTATGCATTTTTGCTCCAGCCAGCACTAATACAATTGGCTGCATCTCAGCTTGCTTCAAATATACAAGGGAATGGGTTTCCTCAGAGAAAAGAAAGAACATCAGAAAAAGAGATCCTGCTTAAAGTAAAAAACACGACAGAGATTGTAAGAAAACTTAAAGAAGGCTACAAAATGTATGTGTGCAAGGGTCCACTGCTGGCCCGACATCCCTGAGGAAAGAGAGGCTTTCCACCCTTACTTGGAAGCTGACAAGTCCTTGGCAAAGCAGGGGATGAAGGAGAGGTTGGCCATGGAAGACCCCTCAGCTAAAAGGCATGCAGTCTGTAGATTCTGTTCTCAACAGACTTCTGGCCTCATGTCTGAGGGTGGACTTTACAAGAAACTCTTCTTCCACATAAGCAGCCAGAATAGATGGCCAGGAATTCAGAAGGTTATGATGTAATCTAAAATTTAAAATAAAATTAATTCCTTAAGTATCAAAGAGGAATCATGTGAGCACAGGACAGTTGTGAAAGAACAAGCTTTCTCAGCAGAAACTGAATTATTCCAGCTGCAAGCTTCCATTTGTGGTTTTTTGAGATCTTGAAGCTACCAATGCTCGAAAATGTGGGACTTCTTTTTTGGGGCCTGGAGTCAAAATCCCTTGAGACCAACAGTGGGACTCACTTGAAGATGCCTGCAGGTGAGAGTAAAACAGGGATAATGGAGATGAGCATAGCAAATTTATTTGACTCCATTGAGAAGTAATGCCCAAGCAGTTGGGCTGGGAGCAGAAGGGCACAGCAGCCTGGGCATTTGAGGTGGCTCCTGGTTGGGTTTGGAGGCAATTCCCAACTGTCTTTCTCATCACCCATTCCTTAAACACAAGCTTTGCCTGCAGGATGGCCATGGTTCCTGCAGCAACAAAATTATTTTCCCAGGGAGAAGCCAATGTATTGCCACGATCTTAATCTTATTTAGTGTGGTAGCATGGTTTTAATTTTTCTGTGTTTGATCTCTCAGCTCTAGGAATATTGATAGAAATAGGGGCTGTGAGGATTAAATAAAGAGCAGCTTGTTGCATATGAAAAAATACCCCTCAGTCCTCACTTTCTCCGCGGTGATTCAGCTTTTCCAACAGCGCTGCCGAGATAAAAGGCTCGCATGTGAGCAGAAGTGTTAGCAAGGGCTGTAATGCTTTCAGCGCAGCCTCTTGCAGAAGGGCCTTGGCTGCGGGAGCAGATCCCGCCTGCTCCCAAACCTCCTCCCGCGGCGGGGCGGC